ACACACACACACACACACACACACACACACACACGGTGGTCATGATGACCATAAATCCCAGGCTACCCTTTAATCCTAAACAAAGTTGTGAAACTCGAGACTTTCCTCTTGTTCCTTTACTTAACATTCACTCCTGGAGCCTTCAGTGTGGAAATTTCTGCACAAAATCACTTATTCCTGCCCTTACAATGGGAGACAAGCTTAACGCTGGGAAAAGAAAAAGGATTTAATTGCTGGCTGTCCTGTTCGCTCAGGAATCCAGTGTTAAACATCGCTCCAGGACCTTTTCCAGACTCTTAGATAACACCTTTGCTCTAATGACAGCCCTCCTCGTGGATTTTTACCTTGGCGTCTTGCGGTGAAAGAATAATACAGAACTCTAAAGCTTCTAAGTCTGTTCTAACAGTTCACCTGCTCCCAGTGGGAAGCCATCAGTCCTTTCGGTATTGTCGCAGTTTGAGTGCTGCGGTAACAGAAATACCCTAAGTGGTGGCTTCACCAAACAAACGTAGTCTCTTGGAGCTTAGGAGGCTGACATCAGAATTTGGGGTGCTGCTTCTAGGGAAGGGCTTTCTCTCTGGTCTCCTTTCTTTTCAACTTCTGGCGCCCAGTTTGTGGGCTTGTCTCCATGGGAGGTGGCATCTCTCTTCCCTGTCTGTCTGTTTCCCGATGCCTAATCTGCTCCTTGTACTTCTCAAAGGTGGCTGGCCTCAGACACGCCCATCATAGATCAAGCCTCACCAACACAGCAAGGAAAACCCGACTCCCAAATGGGATCAGAAGAGGGGTTCGGATTTACAGCATACATTTTTTAGGGGACACAATTCAGTCTGTACGTGTTTCTGAATCAAGGCAACACACTACACAATTGATGAATGCACCAAACTCAAGGCCATCAAGTCACTGCTGACTCTCAGCAACCCCCTGAGGGTTTCTGAGACTGTCATTGTTTACAGGAAGAGAAAGCCGAGTCTTTCTCCAACAAAGCTGCTGGTGGTTTTGAACTGCCGACCATGCAGATTGCAGCCCAATGCATAACCACCACACCACCAGTGCTCCTTCCTACAACTGAGAGGTACTCAGTAATAACAAAGAAGTCCAATAGCATTCTTTGACCCTCCCGTAACTATTTCACTCACCACGAAGAACCTGACTTCTATTCTCCAGCCGCGTCTAGCAAAGCACAATCTCAAGGCTACAGATCACCGGAATCCCTACAAAGTGTCTTCGCCACCTCTGGACATGGGTCACCACACTAGGCAGGAGCACCTGCTCATAAAAACCCCTTTCTCATATTGGGCCAGAACCTGGTTCTCTACCACAGTCCTCTCTTCCAGCCTTTAGGATTAGGTCCATGAAAAAGAAACAAATGTGCAGAGGGTGTTCTGTCACCCACCAGATTGCTTGTCTCAGGTGACCGGACAAACTTCCAGTCAGCCACCACAGGGTCACTTCAACTGCTTCCTTGGTCCATTCAACACCCCAACTGCCCTTGAGTGGCCTCGACTCACAGCGGCCCTACGGGACAGAGCAGAACTGCCCTTATGGGTGCCAGGGACTGGGACTCCTGACGGAAGCAGAAAGCCTTGGTTCTCTCTCTCCGAGCGGCTGCTGTCCTCTGTCCAAGCAAGAAATAAATCATCGGAATCTTCCTGCTACGTTAAGAATGTGTTCAGAAGGTAAACAAGCGGCCATCTAGGTCAGAAGCAACAAAGCCCACATGGAAGAAGCACACCAGCCTGTGTGATCAGCAAGTGTCAAAGGGATCAGGTATCAGGGATCAAAGAACAAAAAATCATATCATTGTGAATGAGGGGGAGTGTGGAGTGCCCATCTGTAGGCAACTGGATATCCCCTTACAGAAGGGTTGTGGGAGGCCAGTCAGGGTGCAGTGTAGCAATGATGAAATATACAACTTTCCTCTACTTCCTAAATG